TCTTTTCCTTCTCATTCTTCTCTCCTTCCTCTTTATGCTCTTCCAACTTTGCTTACTCTCATATCAGAATAAGATTTCTTATATTCAAACTCAACAGAAAGTTTGAATAACGAACGGAAGAAACTGACACCAAAGCTCCATGTTATTTTATTCCACAGATTTTAAATGAGTCTGTGTACAGTGTGAGACTTGCAGCCAGGATCGTCGATACCCCAGCTAATGAGATGCATACAGATTCTTTCATTGAGGTATGTAAGCAAATGTCTTCTGGTTATAGTCTGAAGAACTTTTTGGTTTACAAAGTAATCTATGCATTGGTATAATTACATTCACATCTATATTTTTTTAAATAATTTTGTTTATTCATTATTGTTTTTATTATGACTGATTATAAGATTTATATCTAAAATAAAAATTGCACATCTTATTCATGATAACTTTATCCTTAGATGGCTCAGAATGTAGGTCAGTCCCTGGGCATCAAGCCTGTGGTCATCCAAGGTGAAGAACTTGCTACAAAAGGCTTTGGTGGCATATATGGAGTAGGGAAAGCAGCTGTCCATGCTCCAGCCTTGGTGGTGCTCTCACACACACCTTCAGGAGCAACTGAAAATGTGGCCTGGGTTGGCAAGGGAATCGTCTATGACACAGGTGGCCTTAGCATCAAGACTAAGGTGAGAGGGAATAACCTTTGTTTAATGCTTCTTGATCAATTTTAGGAGAGAATTTAATCAAGAAAAATAACTACTATAAATCAATGACTTTGGTACAAACGTATGTAAAAATTACATTGAGTTTCCCTGTTTGTTTCTGCAGACTAGCATGCCAGGCATGAAGAGGGACTGTGGTGGAGCTGCAGCCATACTTGGAGCTTTTTACTTGGCTGTCCAAGCCGGGTACTCCCAGAACCTGCATGCTATCTTTTGTTTAGCTGAAAATGCTGTTGGACCAACTGCAACAAAGCCAGATGATATCCACACTCTTTACTCAGGAAGGTTAGCTCTTGGGTGAAGAGATTTTGTCCTCATTGATCCGTCTATGAAGTCATCTAGCCTATGGCTGGATGAATTTGTAAAACTTTTTATTGATTTTTGCTGTTTGGTTAATTTAGAGAGAGAAAGAATTTTTTGATAGAAATGGAAAAGAAGTATATACCATAAATTTACTTTGATACACCATGTATTGTGTATTGAGAATATTTTAGATTTGTTTATTTATATGGATGCTTGCAGAACTGTAGAAATAAATAATACCGATGCAGAGGGTCGGCTTGTCCTTAGTGATGGTGTAGCATATGCAGCTAAAGATTTGCGATGCACAACCATTTTGGACATGGCTACTCTTACTGGCGCACAGGGTACTGCAACAGGTATGGTCTGATGCCATTCAAAATAAGCCTTTGAGATGATTAGATTATAAAAGATTTTGTATATTTTCAAATAGTAATATTCTTTTGTACAAGTCTTGACAAATATACTGTATTCCTAACAATTGCATCATATGGTTAAGTACTTCTAGGATTGATATTTATTATTTCATTCAAAATAATACAACTTGATACAAATGGCATAATTGATTTAATTAATTTGGCAGCAAAAGGTGCTCATATTGACTATAACTATTAAGAGAAAGTATTTCAAAAATTGACTTGACTTGTGTGACATGCTGTAAAAAAAATATTATTGCAATCGTTGCAGGGAAGTACCATGCAGCAGCGCTTACCAATAACCAAGAATGGGAAGATGCCCTCGTTGCTGCCGGCCAAACCTCTGGAGACTTGGTTCATCCACTGCCGTACTCACCAGAATTACACTTTGCTGAGTTTGCATCTGCTGTTGCCGACATGAAGAATTCAGTGGCAGTAAGTATACTTCTTGCACGTGTAATTATTATTGTCTTATTTATTTGTTTATTTTTTTATTATCAATTTAAATTTTTTGCAAGGTGTTTCTATAATTTATTCAAGACCAGAATTATATTCTTCCTTTCTCTATTGATCATCATGACTGATTATATTTGATAATAAGTAAAATAAAGAGAGATAATTGTCTTCAGTTACAAAATTTGTAATTAAATAACTTAGGATATTAAGATTCATGGCATTTCTTTCACCTACACAAGGACCGAACAAATGCCACCTCTTCATGCGCTGGTCTCTTCATCGCTGCTCATCTAGGATTCGACTTTCCTGGCATTTGGATGCACGTTGATATGGCGTATCCAGTACATTGTGTAAGTAAATTATGTGCAACAAAAATATTATTGACTGGTTCTTGTATGATTTTACCTTGTGATAAATTTGATTTATAGTAACAGATTTTTAGAAATTATTTTATAACAGAATGTTCTATACATAAATTACATGCAACAAAATTGTCATTCGTTGGTTCTTGTGTAATATTGCCGTCTAGTAAAGTTGAATTGATGTAATAAAGAAATGTCTTCACCTGTTTTTTCTAGGGAGAGCGTGCCACAGGGTATGGAGTAGCATTGCTGCCAGTTCTGTTCGGACATCACTCAAACAGCAGGATTTTCCGCAGTTTAGCACCTCTGTCATCCGAAAATGGAGAATGTGAAGTAAACTGTAAAGCCTCCAAGAAGATGAGGCTAGCATAAGGAAGACATGGGTAGAGTTCAGAATTGGTCGTTTGAGGCACTTGATAATCCAGAATTCAGTGCCGTTACTAAAGTTCCCATGTCTTGTATCATCGCTGCCATAGTATGAATTTGTAAGCAAAGTTTTGTACTATAATAATAACAGCTTAACTGATTTGTGAGGTAAGAGTGTGTAAGGTGTTTAGATATTGTAAAAGGAATGTAAAGGCAGATATGAATTTTACTACAACATTCATTTACTCATAAACATGTATCCAAGTTGCTTATTTTTTTCATTTATACATATAAATATGAGTTTGATAAAATTAATAAAATTGGGCATTTCTGTGTTGAACGCCCATGAAATATCTAGAAATTCTTGAAAGTGTTTTAGTTTCGGTCACACTTGTTTTTTCTTTCTAACTGTATCCATTAGTGCCCAGTGGCTGCTAGAATTTCTTATGATTTTGTCACATGAAAAGTGGCACATTGCAATACTCTTGTACATGAAAGAGTGTCTATAAGCGCATGTCTGCTGTCAGTTCTTTAACCGTTTACTGGTATGATTTGTCAGGGTTGGTTTTTCTGGGGAATTAAAACACACACAAGGCTGTCTTGATGAAAATATTTTATATTGATCAGTGATAATTTTGCTAATTTAATTGTTGATAGTATTTTTCTCATATATTCCAGTTCATTGTATTAAAACCTGTGGATATTCCTGCTGTTATTTCTCATTATGAGTATCTTCATAATTTTTGTCATTACTAAGATGATTATTAGAATTACTAGGATCAATCTTATTTTTATTATTATTTCCTAATAGACAGCAGACTTGTAAGTAGCTCTCCGTCCTTGGCATGTTGTCAACAGTGCCATACAGGCCTGACCATTCTCAAGGGGATTCAACAATATCACTACCAACGGTGTTGCTTCCTAAGACCCAACAGTGTAAAAGGTGCCACCATGAAAGCTGTTTTGGTCTTATTTTCATTAGAACAATTAATTGTCACAGTCATGATATTACCTCAATGAAAGATTGATGCCCTCCGCTGTATTAGAATGTGCAAAATTAGAATCCATAATTGGAGCACTAATTGTATGATTTCCTAAGATTTTATTTAGTTAGTTTTCCTATATATATGTTCCTTGAGACGTTGGTACCAAATCTTGTTGCTTTGTATATTTTATTTGAGGGTTGATTATTATTTCCAGAGTAAGCCATTAATATATACAAATATAAATTTATATATATATGTAAATATATATATATACACACACATACATACCTATAGATTCTGATTCTTTGCAGTAATTGTCATTTGTTCATAGAAGTCTTCTTCAAATAGGTGCCTTCAGGAATGTTATATTAAGTTTTAAACACTTTACTTCAGTTATGAGAAACGCAAGGATGTGATTTCATCGATGCATTGTGTTTGTTCCATGCACTGTATACAATACCTTATTCTCATGGATAGTCATGAATGAAGTCTCATTATAAATCATCATTCATCCATCTTGCAATCAGAATAAGTCGGAGAAAGATGACGTTTTGATGTTCCACTGGGGGAAGGAAGAGGAGTACATGTATATTGTAGTACTTGTTCTGAACACTCATTTTCTCATGGCATCACATCTAGGGTTTATCACCATTTTGCCGTTTTGCAGATTAAAGGTACAAGTTGAAAAGCTGTTTGAAATAAAATGATAAACTGTTTGTTTAATTATCTTTAGGCATTTTTCTGGTGTCATCATTATATATGAAGTGCAGTATTATATATTTTTTTTCATAATTTGTAGATTTTGAATAAAAAGATGAAAGGTTAAGCAGTTAAGATAGTATTGTGTAAATGTTAAGAATTATAATGTGTATGTGAAGGGATATCAGATGTTTCCAATGTAAAAATAGCAATATTTCTTGAATGGATGTATTTGATTATTATCAACAAATTGATGATGTAATGACAGCTATATTCCCATTTGATTTCGAAGTTGATTATCTATTTGGTACAGAATTGTGAAATTAGTAAGAAAAAAAAAAGTCATGAAATGTAATGCTCACTGTTGGATCACTATTTTTTTTTTTTTTAATTATTATTATTATTTATTAGGTAGATAGTTTGTGTAATTTCTTCCTTTCTTTTTCTAGAAAAAAATTATTGTTCATTTGTTTTCAACTTGTTAGTCCTTGTATGGCTGCATTTTGTAGATTTTTGTCATCAAAGAATTATATTTTCAAACATGGAAGAAAACAACAAAGACTCAGGCATTATGTGAACTGTATTGCAAGATAACCCTGTTTAGTAATTTAGATTTTAATTGAGCTACATATTCATCTTAGCATTTAATTAATGACTGTAACAAAGTAAAGAAGAGCTAATAAATGTAATGAAAGTAAAAGAAAAAAAGTGAAGAAAAAAGTAGTTTGTAATAACTAAACCTAATGTCCATTCCTCTGATGGTAAGTAGGGGTTCACATGCATTCAGAAGAAGTTTATAAGTTTAAATTAGGAATCCTGGATATTTGTCTGCCAGTTGTGGAAACAATTATGGCAAAAAGTTGATTTTGTATACTAAGCACAGTATTAGGCAATGAGTTACCTTGTAGTATTTATGGAAAAAAAAAGTTTCCCATTGCTGTAGGTGCTTGCCAGTATTAAGTAGTGACCATGGGAAGATGGGGGTTCTAGCAGCAACTAAGTATTGAGGCAAAAAGGGTTGAGTTAACAATTAGGACAAAATATGTTGGATGTCAAGGGCTATACACCACTGTGGGCTAGTATGGTAGTGAAAAAGGGTAAAGAGGGAAAAGCAAACAGTGTAAAGGCCATTCAAGACTGACAAAGCCAGTCTTTCATCCTTTTAGCATGGCTATCACATGTTAGGATGTCAACAGAAGGGGATGAAGAAGAGAAGGAAAAGGAAAGGGGAAGACGACGACACCATGCAAAATTAGCTGAGGTGAGGGCTGAAGTCCAAGGTAGGGGTGATCCCCTACGTTGGGCCAGGCATTAAGTGAACTTAATGCCTGGGTAGGGTCGTGCTCAATCATGTGGATAGGGCCTTACAAAGCTAGTCACTCCAATGGGTTGATTGCTGGTTTGCTTATAGGTACAAGCAAAAAGACTGACAGCAGGTAGCAACCCACTCAATTGTGTCCACAAAGACTGCTAGATTGCAAGGATGAGCTTAAAACAGCTATTTTACAGTAAACCCCCTTTTTTTGACAATTCATTGTAAAAGATATAAGGGGAGGCAAGTGGAAAGATTGAACCAGAAAGACCTTTGAAAGCTTTAAGATCATATTTGAGTATGAGATTAACGAAAAATACAAGTACAAAACTGGACAATCAGAAGCACAATACATGGTAGTATTAGACTGGATAATCAAAACACACTTGCAAAGATGAATATTTTTCAATTTACCCATGTATGGATTAAAAGGAAAATGGCACAAATAATCTTTATTACAAAAGCTTATGAGATAAATTAACCATATCTGCAAATTATCACAAACATGGCAAATCATCTTGATAAATCTTATATACAACTTGTAACAAAAATTGGAGCTGTGCTGATGAAGGCACGTAGCTTGTCTTTTTCGAAATTTATATACATCATACTCATGGTTTTTGATTACCAAGCTACATGCTGGACAAAATTGTGAATAGTAATGGCATACCTTGCCATATCACGACAAAGCTCTGCGTGCACTTTACAAGCATAATTAATAAAATAACCAGTAGTAAGATATGCTTTTTGGACATCAGATGGTACAGTACACCTCGAGTTTACAGTTAGTTAACCAGTATATATTAAATGACTATTTTATCACACAGTAAATTAGACAAAAAACTAGTATGTGATGAACAGGCATTGACTATATTAAAAACATAAAAATAGCCATCATAATACAGGTTACATAAACTATTATTCTGAATTTTCAAATATTTGAGCATGAGAATGAATTACAACTAAAGTCACATGATACTCAATGCACACTCCCTTCACAACAATGATTTAGATGAGAACAACTTTGTACAAGTGGAATTTCAGTCATACAACCTTTCAAGAGCTCTTGGTTCATGCAATACTCTGACACAATGAACATAACATTATAGGATATGTAACTTCAAACACTGAACTTTGGTATCCTTGAATATAATGGGACAATATGGAAAACTAACAACAACTGCACATATATTTCAAGGACTTTGCCTTTTTTTCAGTCAGCAATAACTTACTTTATGTGGGAAAGATAATTCACAATAAGTTATTTGCTTTTCTCAAATATTTAGAGAATTCACTGATTGCTCTGTAAGTCGTAAATCAGTGAATAATAAATATATATATAATCTGATTGTTACCATCATTACATAAAGTTTGCTATATGAAAACTACAATATCTGTAATAAAACAAGAATAAAGAGAGATTGGGTACAACAATAAAAGTATTTAAATATTGTATGATGACCAATAAAATGATAATATATCTCTAAGAATAAATGTGTGAACTAAGCTTTTTTGTGACTTTACTTATTCAAAGGTGCAAAGGACCTCACAAATGAACTTTATACTACAACATAAGCAAGATTCATTACCTTATATAAAAAAAATCAGGTAAATGGGTGTACAACTTTGTCAGACTTATCACATATTGCCTTTTTGTTTTACTCTGCTTTAACATGAGCTTCCTTTTTCCCCTTCTTGGCCTCAAGATCTTTCTTACATTGGAGGTACATATTGTTCAGATCAAAGGAAGCCTTGATGTTATCCTGGAAAAAGAGAGCAGAATAAAATATCTAAATTTACCAACATCTCAAAACTTCTATATATAAAGCAGTGATTCCCAACCAGTGGGCCAAGATCAAGGTGGTTGTGAAGAGCTCACAAGGGGATCATGAAGCCTTGGGGAGAGGGGGGGGGAGATTGATCAATATGCTATTCATTCTTTAATATTCGTGTTAACCCCACATTGCCAGGAAAATGTACTGTTCACTGTAGTATTGTCTCTGCACATAGATGACAGTAGGTGCTTGGCTACAAAGTCAATTAATAGACCTTGTGACCTTACTTGATTTCACATTTGCTGTTTTTTTTCTTCTTCTTCTTTTTTTTCAATGCAATCAATACTGATATTGTTATTATCATTATAGACATTGTAATTCTTATAGTGTTAATAACTTTACTTACAGTAATTTAAGATATCAAAAAATATTTCTGAAAGTCAAGTAAATGGGTAAACAGGTGAGATAGGCAGTACTCATAATTGGATAAATGGTGACTTAGTACTTGTGGAGCCATGTAGATGTAAATACAATTAATAAATTAAATTCATAGTGGGCATGGCCTGTATATACATACCATCCCTGGCAGCAACGGGTTATTCTATCAATGTCACTTCAAGAAATATTGAATTAATATTAGCTAGCTAAAGCTTGTACAGATTGCTTTTTATTTTTAATTTTATCATAGCCAAAAAATGATGTTGGGGGGGTTACAGATGTGTTGCAAGTTTGAGAAAGGCTTGGGAACCACTGACATGATGGACAGTTACAAGCTGTTCCATAAATACTTCTTTATAGAAGGTTTCACTAATGATGTACCAACAGAACACCAAATTCATAGCAAATTGTTTATATGCTTTTTTACCTACTTACTTAAAAAACAGAAGAGATATAAATACATAAAGGAACTTGTCTGCAATAATCCCTAATTCAGCCAACATATAAAATGACTATGAGTTATATAGTATGATACAGTGATTCAAAGTGAATATCACAATAAAACATAAGCCTAAAAGAAAAAGAAGAAGAAAGAAAGAAAGAAAAAAAAATAAATAAAAGAATAAAAAAAAAAACATTAACCAACCTCTGTGAAGTAAAATTTCTGGAACTTGGCATTGGCATCCAAGCAAGGTCGCCTTTCAACTTCAGCGCCCTTCTTAAAGACTGAGATTGTTGGAAGCTGAAGCGAAAACGCTGAATCGTTGATGTGGTATTTCTTTGCTGCATCAGGATATCGCCCTACATCAATCTTGCCAAATTTCAGGTTGTCAAGGGCATACCTGAGTGGAATAGATTGGTGATACATACTTTCATATTTGCTTTTTTCTCCCGAATTAGATAATGCACTTTGTACTATTATTTTACCCTTACAATATCTTCTTTTTCAATAAGTAAATATAAAAATATTTGAATAAATATAAAAAAATATTCATGAAATCATTCACATTTTCAAAGATGAAAAGTCCATTTGACCTCTTATGATTTGATACCTAATTTATAATTCTAAATTAAACATTATGTTCCCAATGAAACTCGCCTATCACATTCATGAATTTTATCCTATCTTACCTTACACAAAATTCTTGTAGTCTCACTTGAGAAAATTTATCCATTTAACAAAAAGACACATTGAAATTCTCTTGCAATAATTATCAAATACAAGTCAAAAGAACTGTCTCATTTTTCCCTGTATCAAGTCCTGTGAACAATCACATTTTCCAAACATAACATAACTTGCCTAACCATATACTACTGATCTTACTACAGCATATACTGAAATAACATACTGGGCCGAGAGCTTTGCAAAGATGGGAGCCAGGCTTGAGCAAGCTGGGCTCCATGCGGTGTAGAAGGTGATAAGCCACACTGTATTCTTGTCTCTCTGCAGTTCCTCGTCCAACTCCTTGCCTTGGAAGTAAGTCAGGTTCTCCGGGCCCTGATATACAGGTTCTCCAACCAGAAGGAAATGAGCTGGAAGACACAGATGTACATTATGGAAATACCTATATCTAAAATAAAATAAATTAAAATAAAATAAATATATATTTTTTCTTCTTTATAGTATATCTGGTATAATCAAAACCATTAAAAAAGAAATAAAGAAACCTTTTTTGAAATCATTTATATCCCTAGTACAAAAACATTCCCAATCATCATAAAACTTGGCCCTACTAAACTCACATTTAACAATTTAACTACTTTTCAGGCTATAAAAAATAAAATTTATAAATAAATAAAAAATAATGGTTCATGGTTGGAACAAGTAAATGTGCTGGACATCAAAGGTCACATAGCACTAAGATGAAGTATTGTGATGAAAAGGGGGTAAAAATGAATTACCAATTAGGATAAAATGTGTTAGATGTCAAAGGTTATAGAGTGTTATTGGATAGTATGGTAATAAAAGGGGTAAACAGGGGAGCAAATGCAATAAAGCAGAGTTTATTAAAAGAGGCAAGGGTTATGGGTGTAGGTCCACTGGATGAAATGGAGTGTATCAGTGGCTGGGGAAGGAATAGGAACAATGTCTAAGGAAAACTTGCAAAGAGCCATTATGAAACAATCAACAAGTAATACAGGTAGAGATGGTTGTTGGAGAAGTACAAGGAGAAGAATTTGGGGAATATGATAAGGGGTGGATGAGGGAGTGGAGCATTCTCTTGGTTCATTTTTAGAAAGTTTTGGATGTCATCAAGAGTTTCTGGAGGGGAGTTGGGTGGGGAGGTTTGAGAAACAAAGTTTTCTTGTAAGGAGGAGAAGAGGGGGTAGATGTATGAGGAGCAGAGGAAAAGGAGGGTGTATGAGAGGATCTGGTAGGAGAAGATGGAGTGGAATGTTTAGGTAGCCTGGTGCAACACGTAAAGTGAGAAAGAGGAGGGATAGGTATTGGGCAAATAGTAGAGACTGGAGTAACTGGATTTAGACTGGAAACAGAATTTGACTGGGGGAGAGGGGGAGTAGGGGTAGGATGGTTCAGGGTTGAGGGAAGAGATACTGGGGGAGATGCTGAGACATCTTGTGAAGATGGAAGAGGAGCAGAGTGAAGGACAGCTTTAGAATAGGTAGAGAGAAAAAGCTCACTGCTGTGCTTCCTGTCTGGCCTAACATAGAGTGAGGCCTAATTTGAATCTGAGAATGGTTACCCCAGATTCAAGTTTACAGACCTCTGGGAGGAATAATGTAGAGCAACTGTTACTGTATCATAATCAACATGGCAAGTACGAGTTCTTGTCATAGATAGGACAATCAGTCAGGGAGACAGAAGCAGTTCCGGTACAAGAATTAAGAGAGGAGCGAGGTTCAGCTGGAGTAGGTTTACCAGTGACGTAGACAGTGCTTGAGCTTGGGACTCATAAGTAACTGGGACGGGGTGAACAACTGGAATGACTGTGAAAGGAATATTTGCCTACTTGTTTTTTTGAGCCATTGTAGAGAAGAGTATTGTCAGAATAAGGGGCTGGGGGAATAATCATAAAGAATCGATCCCACTTGGTTGGACCAAAGAGAGTACTCAAAAGGTTTGCAGAGGTGAAAGCAGTAGAAGGATGAGGGCTGGAGGAAGATGGCGTGGTGTAGAGAGGGGTTGTACTGTGAGGAGGAGAACAATAAGGATGATGAGTAGTATAAGGAGGGAGTGGGTAGACAATGAAGAAGCCTGTATAGTAGAAGATGAAGTGGAGAATGTTGGGAGGAAGGGGTGCATTCTGAAGGTTGAGTAATGATCTGGGTGGGTGGTTCTGAATAGATAAGAGTTGTCAGTAAGCACTGAGGAGAGAATATTAGTATCTGTGCTCAGAGCCGTGGCAAAAGGAGAAGCAGGGGTCGGGAAAACAGTGAAATTAAATTTAGATAGGTTTGTTGAAGATGGGGAAAGCCTTAATGCCCTGAATAAAGGGTTAAAAATCTTCATTAGGCTATTAACCAAGGGAATACTGTGCCCAGGACTCCCAGATGCCATTCAGGACTGGCACAAAGCCAGTCTATCATCCTTTCAGCACAGCTCTCACACCCTAGGAAGTGGACAGAAGAAGGGAAAGAAGAAAAGGAAAAGGAAAGGGGGAGAAAAAAAGACCATACAAAATTAGTTGAGATGAGAGCTGAGGTCCAAGGTAGTGGTGGTTCCCCACATTGGGCCTCAATCACTATCTCCTAAGCCCACCCAAGACAACAACAAGCAAGGGATTTGGGGGGAAATGAAAAATAAATAAAGAAATAAATACACATACACAAACACTGAATACTTACTGATGGCAAACACAAGGTACAGAATGCCATAAACAGGATCAGCACTGAACCACAGGAGAACGTTACAGAGCTTAGCATACGTGGAAGCGACAGAGACATATGCAAGCATGGTCCTGCTCCCACTCTTGCGGGTCCTGAAGGCAATGATGACAATCATGAAGAACATCACTTCAGACTCCCACTGAAATAAAATGAGTTTACCATCAACAAAATGTTTTATACTAATGATGATAAAAGTAATATTCATAATATCATGAATATTAAGGGGACTCCCCCTAAAAAAAGGGAGAATAGTGGGGTCTGGGAGGGTTGGGTTTATCAAAAATAAGTTCAATCCATTTTCACACTCATATAGAAATGTTGAATTACCCACATGAATATAAGCATCTGCGAAAAACACTCGGCAGTGACGGGATCCATGAATCCTAGCTAGTCACTAACAGTGTCGGCAATTTTTACACGTGTATTTATCCCCTACTGGAGTGAAAATTAAACATCATATTTTGAAATTACCTACTGAAATAAGTCACATAAGGATGAAGGTGTCTTATGATGAAAAAAATGAAGAAAATCTAAAAATCATCAAACAATTTTTCATACCTTTTTCCTTAAAAATGTAGTAGATATGATTTGATTTTGATGTACACATCGTACACATAACTTTAGAGTTTGACAATAATGCATAGGCAGTGATGAGTCTCTATTTTGAAAGATAAATGAACGCAAGTTGTTTGTTTAGGATAGTTCGGTTGACCACAAGGTCCTGAGACTTCATGGTGAGCCAGGCAAGAATTTTCATGCTTTCACCACCCAGTTAGACTTTGCACATAGCAAAGATTTTACATATTTTGTGTTAACTGGAGCCCAATTAATTGAGAAAATGCATAATAGTAAAAATGTAGCTATTTTATATTAAATATAAAAGACTGAAGTATCTCACATGTCAAATTCAGTTTGTGTTATAACATTAAGAAAAGAAATGACCCTGATACTTCAAAGTATCAACATTTTCTAAATGGCTATTTCCAAAGAATAAAATAACAATTCAAGGTTACTTGGTAATTATGAACTTCTTGTTACTCTAACTGTTTCTCTTTACCTTTGCACACCTGTGTACATGTGCACACATGTACACAAGTTTACACAAAGAACATTGCATGTTCGCAATGGTATTGGATTAAAATAACTGCAAGACTGAAAATTCAAAAATCACTACATGCAAACACGGCTATCATAGACTTTTGCTCGATAAAGCATGGTATGGCCCTTTAAATGATGCCAAATTGCCAGGAATGTCTATAAATCGTGCACACAACTATTCTTATTTACAAATTTTCTACCACTCACCTGTCCATAGACCTATTTCTGTTTATAATATAATCTGAATAACTTCATAAATTTTAATTTACAACAACTGTCTCACATAAGAAGAAAAATGTCTTTGACTTCCACGATAATTGTTTATGAAGTGATCGCTCCCATATTACACTAGCCAACAATTTTGGGGGACTCCTACGAATCCACAAACATCATTGTAGGAACTAAATGAGTCTCTGCAGAGCATGTTGTGATCCATTTCCTTTATTTGCCTGTGAAGATTATTTCATGTATATGGGAGTGCATTTTTTCCTTCTCTTTATGATAGTCCTTAGATTTTCCTTATATTATTATGGTCACTAAGTAAATATATAAAATTTCCTCAGCTGATTCCTTCGCAAGAAAGTAATTTTAACTTTGATAGAATATACCACTTGGAAAACCAGTGTATAGTGGATAAAACTGGTAAAGTTTCAGTTTCACACAGCCATATGACACAAGGTAAACTGCCTTTAATAGTCTGAATGACAAAGAATAAGACTTCATCTATGGTATTTCCTTCTGAAGTTGATAAAAAAGTTGGGCAACATGTAATCCGTTGGAATACATTTATATAATGACTACATGAAGATTGGGGATATCTAAGGAAAAGCTAGTCAGTAAATCACTCATACATGAAATCATCTGCAAGGCAAAGAATAACGTCAAAAATGGAAAAAATTGGACACGACAAATACCATGTGGAGAGACTGTCTACAGCAATCGGATGGGAGTCCAGGGAGGAAATACAATGAACAACGTGGGGGCCTTGGAGTGAATACTCCGGGCCATGAAGAGTTTTGGTTCATATGGCAACATTTGTGGAATTTCAAGGGTGAATGGAGTAATAAGGACTTAGTCTTGGAGAGGTGCAGTCAATTCATAAAAAATTATCAATACTTTCACCTATATCATTTGCAATGAAAACAACAGTAAATTTACACATTTAGAACATGAATAATCGAAACAGATATAATAATTGCATACTTGGATGGCTGTTTAAAACTAAAAAATTACCTTAAAACCTTATAGAAAATTTAAAAAACTGATTGTAATCACTTGCAAGCATAATGAAGTTCCCTGCTTCGCCCATATGCAGTTCTCCAGGTAAGAAAATTCCAATAAACAAGTGGAAAAGTAAAATTCAACACTAAATAAAATACATATGACAATAAAAGGTAAATTTCCAGTTTTATCCAGCCTCCAGGCTCTGAGACACTTGCGTGTCCAATAACTTTGTTATTTTGAGCTGCGGAGAAAATAAACAGATGATAAGTTCCTTAGAATAACACGCTCTATCGTTATTTTGAGCTGCGGAGAAAATACATAGAAGATAAGTTCCTTAGAATCACACGCTCTATCGTTTGCATATATCATTTTCCGTTTAAAAGAAGGCTTTATGAAACTCGACCTGTACCCATTAAAAACCCTAACAGGACACGACAAAATAAATAAAGGAATATGAAAATGAACATGTATACATCTTACCAGAAAGGGCTGCTTACAACCTCTTTCAGAAAATATCAATTGACAAGAATCACCAAGGAATCTCAAATACTGTAAAATAATGATAAAACATCGAACAGAATAGAAAAAGAATAAAAAAGACGAAAAAAAAAAAATCAACTTAGCATAGGCCTACACCCTCTCCACAGCCTCCTCTAGAAAATCCTATTCCACAAAACTAACAAAACTAACCCTTACTAACACTAATAAAACACTCAATAACAGAAAGATAGCAAACTTACCATAGTGAGCTCCCCACAATCGCCTTCAGGAAAGAGGATTTCACACAAAACCGGCGTATATTTGGCCGTCAAGAAACTCAAGCTCATTATCAGATTTAACAGATGATAGGGGTGAGCCAGCTGTTTTATGTCGTCGAAAGCCGCCATGGTGAAGACCTGAGACTGTCTGGGTCTTAGACGAATCCAAAAAATCGAGCCTCGAAGTTTGGCAAGTGTCACTGGCTCCCTGCTTTATCCGTCTGTCTTGCGTGTGTCTGCTGTTCGCTACA